AAGGTGTAGAAGTATAGATCCTTGGTGTCAAAGCCAGGATCTTCTATGAAACTTTTCAAAGAGAAAAATGTATGCAAATTAGTTGATAACTTAACGAGGAATCAGCGAACACAAAAGCATAATGTTAATAAAAATTGGATTGTTCAACACGCATGCTAAAACAGATTCAACAGGAAAGGACGCTGGAACATGATCAAGTAACTTGATATGGAGAAATAATTAGACACAGACTGGTAACAAAAATGACTAAAAGGAAATGAGGGTTAGTCTAACACTGTGTGAAGAGCACTTCCTCATTGCTGTTATCCTGGGATGAGCTCAGTTTAGAATTAGGAATTCAGTCCCCCTACGTAGAGAAACTGAACAGCTGCAGTTCATTTTCAATTTCTATCAAAGAAATTGGATGCAAGAAGCAGGAGCAAGAATGTAAGCATGTGACATTGAGGGAGGCCATGCTCTCCAGGGGGCCATGGAAATGAGGTAGATACAGAGGTATCCATGACTTCCAGACAGTAATGTGAATTAGGAAATACTCAATGGGGTGAGATAAATTGCACCAAATATGAATTTCCTCTTTCAACTTGGAACTGGTTAAGGTGCATCTTGGTTGTGTTGGCTGGATGCATATGTCTGAGCCTAGACAGGGACAGAGAGCCTGTCGTCTCCAGCTAACTCACACAGTGACTTTGAGTAATGCCTTCCCTTATCTGGGCTTCATTTCTCACCAACTCTAAAGTGGTTCAGTTGACCACTTATAAGCTCTTTCCAGCTTTATATGTGTATGACATATGGTCGTACAGAAAAAAAGTAACTATTATTGTGGTTTTAAAGACTCAATAAGTTTACAAATAGCAGTCATTGCACCTCAGGTAACCTCATTAATGGCACCCCTTTCTCCTCCCAAAGCCAAATTCAAAATCAAATCAAAATTAGAGTCATGCTTAAATTTAAAAATCAAAATTTTAGCTTTACTAGCTGAAAGTTTGGTTGTGGAATATGGTTTAGGTATATGAAGTTGTGAGATTTCCAGTATTGTACTTGAAACTAACATACAGAAATACTCACCCATGTGTTCTTCTGGCTCCACTAGGCAGATTCTTTTTTTTTTTTTTTTAACCCAATAGCAGAAAGCAGAGCTGAACACAGGCTGCTTCATGTAGATGGTGGAACTAGATAATCAGTGGTTCTCAAGCTCCAGTGGGCATCAGAAACGCCTGGTAGGCTTGTTAGTGCACAGATGCCTATTCTGCACTCTAGAGTTTATTGTTTAGTAGGCTGGGGTGGAGCTCAAGACTGTATTCCTAATATGTTCTCCAGTGTTGTTGACATTGTTGGTCCTGGATCCAAATGGAGAACCTCTGAGCTAAGCAAATTATTCAGAATTTCTTCCAGGCCCATTACTCTGATTAAGTTCTTCTTCCCTACTATATAGGAAAAGTTATGAGGAATAAAATCCAGTCTATAGGAACTCCAGTTGATGCCCCTCTATGTAGGGTAAGGGATAAGTACCTTTCACACACACACACACACACACACACACACACACACACACACACAACCAATTCATGCCTTACATCTTTTGTAGAACTGTCATGAACTACTTATTGATTTATAGATAAAAAATTATTTTAAAATACTACTATAATTGTACTTGATTATCTCAAATGAATCGACAGTTCATTAAAATATTCATGACTCCTAGGAATAGTTACACTACCATCTTAACTGAAAGTAAAGTTAGATTAATTTCAAAGTGCTAGACTACAATAAAGTGCTGGAAGACCCAGAGAAGAATTCTTAATTTTAAAATTACGGTAATTTTGAATTAGATATTATCGTGAACCTTATACATATGATGCTGATTCTAAAAATTTGTGATTATTAAAAACTCACTGAGACCCTTAATAACTTCTTGTATCCTACATACTTGCAAAAGCCGTGTTAGATATTACAGATTAAGATTATGATCCATCCTGGCCTTTTTTAAAGTTGGGTGGCTTTAGGCATATCATATTCCCTCTTGGATCCTTTCTTTATCTCTCAAAAACTGAGAGATATCTTCAGATATCTTCAGAGATATCTTCAGACACTTGAAAAGTCTGTGGTATCTTATCTTTCTATGGACAGTCTTGAGCAATTTCTATTTCTTCATGCTCTTGGTTTGTTTAACGCCTATTGATGAAGAGCTCTTAAAATTAAGCAACTTGTCTCATCAAATAAAATGTGAACAAAATCATGGATGCTTAGAAAGGTGGAATGTTAAAATGGTGGCTGTCAACTTCACCTTCTTTTTAGTCTAAATTGATTTGATGAAAGAAGAAAAGAGTCCCTCTAACCCCCAGGTCTAATGAAGAGTTCTTTGTGCTAATCAGTCAGGTGGAAGGAGTTTAAATTTTCCTCTGGCTTTAGAATTTCTCTCAAAGTTGAATAAACTAAATCAAGTCAATGCATATCATCATCGAACACTCAGAAGGAATAATTTCCATCACCCAGTTACTTGGAAAGTGCAGCTTCTCTGTCATCTTATGGTATTGTCTACTAGGAGGATTGTAAAGGAGTAATATGAAAATAATAAATGGGACTGGAATAGACACACAGTGCATCCAAGGTCACTTTAAAAACTTTTGATTAACTAACAGTGGGGAATTGGCTGAGACTCAGCATTCCATGCTCCAGACAGGAGCCAAGTGTAGAGTCAAGGCAGAGCATGGAGATTCAAAAGCAGTTAAAGTCAAAGTCCAGACCTAAGTGAGAGGATGGTGGTAGGAAGGGATGGACATATCCTACAAAAATATGAAAACATAAGAGACAGAGAAGGAATAGCCAGAGAGATCCAAGTAGAAGAATGATGCAAATGGATGTCAAGGATCCTGAGTTTCAGCAACAACCAATTAATATTATTCATTTCAGTGAGGAGTTCCAGCCATTTGGTTTAGCAATAGAATCCTGGTTTCACCTCAATGGGAACTAACTTGTGGAAGGAGGGCGGGCAGGGTGAAGGATGCTGACTAAAACGGACTGATACGTGACTATGAGATGAGCAGAGGAGTTAATACATGTAACACAGACTGAAAGACTGTGAATGTGATCAGAACCAGGCATAAAGAAGAAAAAGAAAAGAAAGTGAAGGAATGGTTACCCCAGGGTCAGAAGAAAATGTCATGCAGGACACGGCAGATGATGAAGATTCTAAGGTTTCTACAGGGCTCTTTTAGTTAAATTAAATTATGTATCATTCAAGGACATGTATCCATGAATTACATTACAAGCCTGAAGAAATAACAAAGTAAAAGTTATCTTCTCCCTCTGGACAGATGCTTTGCATCTTTGGCACATATTCTATTCAGTCTAAATATTTATGGAGACAGCTTTACATGGAGTTGCACCCTCTCATTGAAAGGATGTTAGCAACATGACAAGGAAGCAAAGAAAAATGGTAATGATGTTGCATATAAGATGCATGGTAGGGAGGTTGAAAATACTGGCCCAAGGGTTCTGGACACTGCATTTTCCAGAGAAATGCGTATAGAATCCAGCTGAAGAGCAGGAAGGTATTCGTCACAATCCTTAGTAACATCTCAATATGCACAATTAGAATGATTAATTTGTTTCTAGCTTCACTTTCCTCTTTGCAGGGATGTCATAGTGTAGTCAGTAATGCTGAGCAGGAAGGAAGTGATGGGAAAGGTCTTATCCATTTGACTGTCATCTTCTACCTGGGGACATGTCCAGTATGTGATGTGGCTCTCTCTACATTACAGAGTTCTTCTTTCTCACTTCCTTTAGTTCTCTGATCAAAAGACATTCCCTGAAAGAGGACTTCGCTAGTCACTGGTCACTATTTAGAAAATAAATCATCAAGACTGGATTATGCTCTTGAGCTTTACTTTGTCATAGCCTCCACCACTGCTGCTTCTTTGAAATGGATTTGTTTAATTGTATATGCTACATCTCTCCTACTACACTGAGAACTGTTTTTATTTTCCTAATGTGACATTCCTTAATGTCTGGAAGAGTATCTGGCAGTGATGTGTTAAATATTAAATATTTGCTGCATATGTGAATTCATTAATCAAGTTAATTAATCCTCTGGAAGCCCCCTCTAAATTCTTTGGCTGGGTAGGCTCCCTTATCTCTACATTCTGTACTTATATACTACACATGATTTTATAATAACTTAAAACAAGCTATTCTCCTGTGTAACTCTCTAACTTGTCTGTAAACTACCAAAGCTCATAAAATGTGACTGCTTTATCCTTCTTTGGTGTCTCTCCAATGATTGTTGTTTACTGAACTGAAAGGGACAGGCTTTATAGGCCAAATGTGAGAAAAAGAGTAGATTCGTAGAATTTAAAGTGACTCATTTAGAAGATAGTGAAGTAGTGCTACCATACACTACATTATATCAATTAACCAGTAAAATATGCTTAGTACCCACTCATAGTAATGCATCTGGTTAAAGGGAGCATTCTGAACTGAGGCCCAGCCAATCTCCGTCCTGCACTTGGTCTTTGTAGAAGTCTGAGCAGGGCCCTCCCTTTCTCTTGGTCCATCCCATTGGAGAAAGCCAGACCATTGTGTGAATAAAGACGCTTCCAACGTGACATCCCAAGGTTCTCCACACATCTAGCTTAGTGAATGATACAAGAGATATAGAATATTTCTTAGTGTATTCTGCAGCTAGTCTTTTAACTCAGAGGGCCAGAAGATTCTTTTGTAAACACCATTCTAGCAGTTTGGCTATCTCAAGAGCTGCTCTAGTTCCCACTGACCCCCACATAAAAGGAGACAGTCTCTCTCTCCAGGCTCAAGTTTTCCATACACTGCTTTGGTAGCTCTGAGAAAACTGTATTTGTGTTACCCGGGAAATCTCTTGAGTGATTTCTTTTGCTAGAATCCCATGGTAAATATTCTTACAGATGACTTACCGCCTGTCACAACTTTCTGATTTTCCCTTTCCAGAAAGAATTCCTGCAAAATGAGGTCAGTCACTTACTAACCATGATCCATTTTTTTCATCCCGTTTGGTCTTTCTTTTCAGAGGCTGAGCAACTGTCTCTTGCTACATCAGTGGGTCATGTCCAACAGCTGTGAAAGCAAAATATTCCAGCAGTCCACAAGAGAGTCCAGAGGATCCAAGAGACAAAGCACAGACTCCAAATCTAATCAGGGTCCAAGGAGTAAATTCCAAGTTACTAAATCCAGTAACCATGGAGTGGAGTTAAAGAGACATTCTCAGATATGTTTCTAAAAGTTTTGGAAATGAACCAGTATGCCAAGATACCTTCCCTCTCTTAAACTTGCTTCACTTATCAATGACCCCATGAGACCAGGAGGGTGTTTCATCTCACAAAGTGCAGGAGATAATTGAAATAATTGAGCAAAGTGTCCCCTGGATTACAGCTGATACCCCCTGGGCAGTGGTGGCAACGACTCCCCTGACCCAGCTGTGTAGGAGTACAAGCCAGGAGTCTTCGTGTAAGCATTTTTCACTATCCTCGGGATGTCTGTAGATGTCTCGTGTGATCTCAGAATGGGCACCCAGGCATATGCTCACTGTCACAGTCTCACATTGCTAAGTTATGCATACATTTGCTAAATTTGTTATCTCTCTCACCTAGCTGAACCTTGAGGCATGACAGTTGTAGAAATAAGGACTTATACACTGAAGTAAAAGACTTTCAGATAACCCCTTAATTAGAAAATTGCTCCTATTTCTACCTCCAAGTAGATAATGATCTCCCCATCATACTTTGATAAAGCAACATTTGTAACATTTCAGAAACAGCATCAAAGAAACATCATTTCATTCAACCTATTGGTTTTCTATTCAGTTATTCGACAAATCGAGGCAGAGTCCCTGAGAGAATCACAGGCCCTCAAGCTCTACTACCAAGTTTGAACCTCGGCCTTTTCAGCAAGGCACCTACCACCTCAGATGCTCATTTTCCTACATCACAAAATGTCAATAACAAAAAACTAACCTAATTATTATGGTTATGGGAAGTATTAAGAGCCAATAGTTGTGATATAGAGAGCCTGATATGGAGTAAGATCTCATTACCATGTGAGTTATTGTTTAGGATATTAGCAGTAGCATAAAAGTAATGTACCATAGTAATGATGATGCCAATAGTATAACACTACCACTCTGAATAGTATGATAGCTGTATTATGATAGCACTAACAGCATAACTATTCAATAGTAATAGTGGTAATTGCAACAATCATAGTACATTAATGGCAATAGTGTTAGAGTAAAAGGCAATCGCTGTGAAAATAATGCAGTAGTAGTGAAGCTAAGATAGTAACAGTAGCATGTTAGTACTGCAGAGGATAGTAGTGTGTTAGTATATGATACAAGTAATAGTGTTGAAATATGGCAAGATGGTAGTAACAGTAGTTAATATTTTCCAAGCATTGGGGGGGAAAAGACCTTTTCTTGATGTCAGGGAGCTGCTAGTCTCCCCCAAGAGTCCATGATTTTCTACAGTGGAAGTAAGATTTGAAAATAAATTTGTGCATTTTCCACACTTTCTTGATCAGAAGCCTAACATCTTTTTAAAAGGGTTATTTTTCTCCTGTGCTACTATTTCATCACAGCCAGCAGTTCACAACCCATGGGAGCATGGAATGTGAGGATCTTAGAACTGGGAGCTGGAAGGACTGAGCTCAGCGCACTACCTTTCAGCCAGTTCTCAAGCAAAATCACAGCCCCAAATATCAGGCTCCAGAACCCTGGTGGAGCTCTGTGGATGAGACAGGGCTCCCCCAGGAAGCTGGCCAATAAAAGTAACAAATACTTAAAGGATAGAATCATACCAAGCAAAAACCCAAACCTCAAGTGACCTTCGGGGTCACAGTCTATCGACCAGACTGTCAAAGGCCCAACAATTAGTCATGATGCAGCTCTCTCTGTACCAATGACAGTTCATGGTTCACTGAGACCACGGTCCTGACCGCCACACATGATGGGAGAAGTGGTCAGGGGCACAAAAAAAGCAGCACTGTATTCACATATGTACAAATTCAAACACTGGTTCTACTTATGCATGGTTTCAAGCTAAGGTTCAAAATGTTTGCCTTGAATTTTGAGAATAAAACAAAATGAAATTATGGGACTAAGTGAAATTATATGTTATAGGACTAAGTGAAATTGTATGTGTAAACAATTATTTGCATATAATATCATCTTGTTAAATAGCAGTGCTTGTCTCTACCCTTGCTCATTGTCAACATACGAAGTATGTTAAAATTTCCTTATTACTCAGTTCCAATGCCTCAAAATTTGTGCAAATCCATGTAAAAGTAGCAGTACTGTTTGCTCCCAAATGAGTAAAGATTTATTGTACACTTAACACGTAGAGTACTGCTCACCTTGGTGAGGGCAGCGATAATATCTGCTCTTGTACCACACAGACGATGTCTTCACTGAATGATTGCAAAATCCTTGATATTTCAACAATTAATAACCTAGTAATTTAGGAGATAAGTTTGGGATCAGTCAGGCCTAAGAGCAAATATCAGTCTTGCCAATCACTAGTTGTGGAGTTCTGGTAGCATAATTTAATCTCTCAGACCCAGTTTACTTAGCCATAAGGAGTATCTTCATAAATGAAGATACTATTAACATAGCTAACAGAGATACATAGTCAAAATGTCCCGGTTAACTCAATAGATATTCTAAAACATTGCCAATGTACCAGGAAGCATTCAAGGGGCTGATCAGTCATCATACACTAAACAATGTCCCTGACCTTATGGATCCTCTTTCCAATAAGGGAAAAAGTTGATATGCAGACAAGCAAATAGAAATCTCACAAGTGCAATGAGTACTATGAGGAGAATCAATGGAGAGTATTTGCGCACACAGTGACAGGAGTGATGATACTAGAAATAATCACCAATTATTCTCCCCATGTGCTCACAGTTCCCCACTTTTTGAAACTCAGCTTTCCTGCACTCTTGAAAACAGTCCTTGAGGAAAGATGAATAAAGATTTTACACTATTGAATGCAATCATCTGACAGCCTTTCAATAAAGTTCTGGACACCAATAGAGGAGTATATGCCCATCACCAGAATGGATGGAGGTGAGTGTCACTTTGGAGACATTTGGAGACACACAGTTATGCTCCATCTCCAGCCTCGTCAAAGTGGACACTGCAAAGCCAGTTCTTGGGGGAAAGGAGTTCCCCTAAAAGGAGGCAGTCCTCAACAATGCCATCTTTGTTGTAGCAGAACATCAGTGCCTTGTTCTGAGTTAGGCCCAAGCTGAGGGGAGAGAGGAATGGCCAGCTGTGAAAAGATCAATTTGTTTCCAACCCACTCATTCTTATGGTCAGAGAGGCTGGTCCCCCACCCTGGCTGGGCCTGTCAGGGACAACTGCCAAGTAGGGCACAGACTGAAGAAATACCCGCTGTTCACACTGAAGCAGGAGCTTTCAGTCTTCTGAATATGCAGCATTAGCCATCTGAAGCTCTAATGCTTTGGCAAGACATAGGTTGGGAGAGCTGAGAGAGTTGCCTTAAGTACAATTCCAATTCAAAACTGTAACTATACAATCCTTCTATTTATTCATGCTTGAAAATACCTAGTGTTAGCCAGATGAGAGAAAACAGGCATTCCCATATATCACAGTTGGGAGTGTAAATTGGTATGACCTCTCCAGAGACCCACTTGGCAGTATCTATGGAAATCAAAAATGCATAGATCTTTTGTTGCTACCAATTCATTTCTAAGAATTTGTCCTTCAGATAAATTCTCAGAAGGGCATCAAAATCAATACCCAAGGAGAATGTCTATTGTGGCATTGTTTATAGTAGCAGAGGTCTAAAATCAGCCAAACATTATGTTATAGCTTAAAATAATAAAGGACATGTGGATGTCGGTAGAAAGATGACTAAAAGAAAAAGAAGAAATATAGTTTACAATATTTGTGTGCATGGTAAAATTGACTTTATTGTATATAAAACTAATCCCTCCATCAATATATACATTCAGTGTAACTCTGCTTATCCCCCTGACTCTTTCCACCCTAATCCCAAGATTTAGTAATACTCACATGGCAAAAGGATCATGTAGTGCCCTGTGGACTCACAAGATAGACATGCAAGTAGAAAACTCTCAAACATCTGTATTCTAGGGCCAACATGGGGTGAAAGCAATAATTATACGTGCAGTAAGTTGCTTATATGCTTTATGGCTTTTCCTGATCTCTATTTGAATGGGCAACTAAGACCATAATCTTAGTATTTTCTGTTTTTCAGGCTTTTCATAATGGATGACCCATTTCCCCCTTTCACCAAACAGTACGCAGAACAAATGTGAAGGAAACTGAAAGTTCCCCAAAAGAAAGACTAGTTCATATTTATATAAAAAGAATTTGCTCCTTTCCAGAAGAAAAATCTCCTAAGAATTTCCATTTACAAATGTTACCAGCAATTTCTCAATGAGTAACAAATGTTGATGAAAAAATAAATAATTCTATTCATCCTTCCACTTATTAGCTGTAGAATTTTGATCAAACTTCCTGATTTCACTGGGCCTGGTTTCCCTGTGTCTCATGCGATATGGACTCTAGTCCTTGGTTGGGCCAGCTCAGGGGTGACAAATGCAGAGCACAGGGTTCCTGTGTTCCTGCTTCTCCAGATAAACATAGCTAATGAATTGTAACATTTCCTACCAATCTCAGTTCAGTCCTCTGAATCTTTCTTGACACAGAACTCTAAGCAGTCACCAACAATTCAAGCTGGCCTAAAAGACAACACGTAAGTGCTTTCTCCAGGAAAGGATTTACCTAAAGTTCAGTTTTTAATTTAGTATTTTATATCCATAATTCAAAAATTCATTTGACCCTGGTAAGGTGGTACACAACTGTAACTCGGCACTCTGGGAGAATTGAGATTTGAGCCCAAAGTCAGCAAATTATCAAGACCTTGTTGCAAAATAAGGTAAGGGGGATGGAACTCTCCAGTGTAAAGGCTCTGTGTTCAGTTCTCAGCACCACTTACTTGTTGGCACACACACACACACACCCACACATACGCACGGACATACACACACTTGTGTGCCAGCCCACTCAGGAGGTCAATCTAAATAATCTGGGTAGGTAAAACAGAAGTTAGGTTTC